TTAGCCACTTGCATTTGAAATTTGCTACTTAGAAGCATAAGAAGTAAAGCATTGAATGAACATTTTAGCATCTATAGAAAACTGCTCTTAAAAACCAGCTGTTTTGACTCTGGCCAAGAGTGTGAAAGCCATTACAACTTTGTTCATTGATGAACTTTGAACTTTGTTCAAAGATGTGTGTCATTTCGGTTAAAGTTTTAAAACTTGTGTAATCTGGGCAACAGTGAGTTCTTTTGTGCTGTTTCCGCCTGTATTTGTGAAGCTCCTGCTGCAAAGAATCCTATTCATTTGAAAATGAGAACATTTGAGAACACCTATAACATGAGCAACAATCACAGTTCAACTGGCCAAGCACTGATTTACAGTATTTTGTGTAGGAAGATTACTAACGGGCAGGATTCCAAAATACTTCAACAACCTTAAAAATGTTTCCAAGAAAATGTTACTGATTTTAATAATGACTATGCAATACATAGGAAACATGAATGCTAGAGGTCAAGAGATCAGCAAAGACTTCTCAGCAACACGGATTTAACACAGGAAGCAATGGGGAAAGTCTAAAGTTAAACTGCTCAGCCAAGGACAGAACGGAAACTGAGGCAAGAAAAAGAAAACATAAGGTCATAAACATGATGACATCTCTGTGCTAGGAAGATGACTCACAATACTAGGTTGTAAAACCTAGGTACAAAAAGTTCATATAGATTCTAAAAGTAAGGCAGAGTTGGTAATCGTGTCATGTTTTCACCACAGATAAATCTATTTCCCCTTTTCGATTAAAAGGTCAGGGGGATCAAATGCAATCAGACAAAGCACATGGTAAATCACATACTCAAAATACTCTCTTTAATTAGTTATGAAATATAACAATGTTTCAATGAATTCTTCTCAGGTTAGGTAGAGAAGGGATTTTCTTCAAGGTATTTAGACACACAGGAAAAAAAATGCAGAGTTTTAAGTGAAAAGAAAAGCATAATGTTCTGACTTGCTTACATCTAAAACACATCAACTAATTAAAACAGCTGAGGAAAGTGTCATGATCATCTCTGTACTTTTGAATGAGGAGAAATTCAAATGCTTGAGAAGTTGAGTTTTCTGGCTTTGCCTCAGGGAAGCTCTCAAACACGTTCTTATCTTTAAGCACAGATGTTCCCATGGAAATTACTGCTGGTGCCTCAGCAACTTGCAAGATCAAGTTCTTGAAATGTTTTATGTTTGTTTTCTTTCATTACCCTGCATATATTTTGCAGGTTCTACTACAGCAAAGCAGCAAGCTGCTACATGTCTCTTGTAACTGTGGGTACAGAGGAATTTACAATGTAAGCGTTTTGTTTTATATTTTGTGAAATTTGTGCTCTTACATCAAGTCTTTGCTGTAGATTAATTGTAGCACAGAAATGCTGCAAAACTAATAGAAATTCAATGGAGAGGGATGGGAGATATTCCTTCTTTGCTGTCAAAAGCCATTTACTTGTGGGAGAGTTTATGGAGCAAGAGCAATTTATCATGAGTTTTATTACATTGCATGTGAGGTTGGGTAATGAGTTAACAAAACTGTATTGTTTGCTAACAGGAGTCATAGCATTTTGTAAAGGAGAGGAACCTCTTATGAAGTAATACAAAAATATTCTGGCTGTCATATGTGTAAAGGAAATAATCTGCATTCATCTCTTAATAATAAAGGGGTTTGAGGTTGTGCAAGTACACCAATGCAAGATGGTCTTTAACTATTTAAGAGACAGATTACTCAATAATGACTTCTTTCCTAGTTCTTCCTGTTTTGTTCATAGTACTTTTACCATTTTTTTGCACTTACAGCCTACTCTTTGCTTCTAGAGAAAAAGAAAGTACTTTTATATGTAGATGGTTTACTGCTGGCAATATATAAAACTGTACTTTCCTTACATTTTAATGCAACCTCTACCCTTATTTTGTGTTCAGTTAATATTTTGTGAAGCAAAATAGCATTCTCTTCTCCTCCATTGTTTCTGTTGATTCTGTGTCTTGGGATTTTGACAGGAAGAGAGGCTCCAATTTAAAGTCAGAGTTAGCAGCTAAGGGCTTCAAGAATACAGACTAAGCAATTACCACAGAAGTGGCCAGAACAGCTAGTTTGAACGTGGGTCCAAGATTTTCCAAAATTTTCCTTTAAGCAGTCGTTCTGGTTACAGCTGACTCTAATAATCACAGTTAATAGTCATTTTATTCACAATGTCCTGTTTGCAACATCTAGACAGGCATTTAGAATCCTGATTTCTGCCAAGGACTTCCAGGCAACACAGTAATAGGCAAATGCTAACACTGCTGTCAGTAACAGAAAGATTACCACTATAATTTAAAAGACTGTAAGTGGAAAATAGATTGACCTCTATTGTCAGACTTTTCCTTAAAAATAACACAAAAAGGTAAATTCAGATCCAAAATCTAGTTACTTGGTTTATTGGCATAGTTTTGATGCAACAAATATTTCTTAATGTGTAAAATAAAGTATGCCCCAAATCTGTGCAAGCCTCACTTTTCTATTTTTTTAACCTGGATATTTAAGCTAGGGCAGAATGGCCAGCACTGTGACCCTTCTGATCCTATGCTGGTCAGGTAAGGCATGAGGCTCTGCACTGGGACACAATAAAAGGTTTTTAGTTTACAGTCTGGAGAAGCAGTTGCAGTCTTTCAAAATGTGGAAATTTGAAACACTGCAGCCTATGAACTACTCTACATTTTCTGACACAAGAAAGAATGAATAAACCGCATCCTCTGAACATACCAGACTTAGGTAAAACAGCACTTGCTGGTATGAGAATGCACCTTCTGTTTACTCTCCGTGTAAAAAATGCGACTTGTGAAACTTATGCCTCTGATAGCACGTTATTTACTATTCTTTGGAAGTTACCTTGCTTTATAAATGTTTCAAGGTTTTGTTTTTTTTTTTATTTCAGCTTGGAAGATGCTGTTGGACTTTGAATTACCTGTCTCTAGGGAAGGAAGCCAGTTAAAAAACAGTGGCTCTTGATTCATCTTTCACACAAATATTATGATGTTACTCCAGGGTCCTAGGATGAATAATATCAAATAAACCTCCAAGATTTTAAGATGCTTTTGTGTGAGGATAGATAAGATTTGAGGTGTGTGCCATACCTGATGATGTGCATGATGACGTGCCACGTAATAGAAGCTGGGTTTCAAGTTTCTTCTGTTGCTGGTAATCAGTGGCCCTGGAGGCTGGGCTGTTGCTTCAGAGTAGCCGAATGAGCCATTATTTCAACTCTGTCTCTTATAAAGAGAATACTCAATATTTGTGACAAGTATTTGACTGAGATGTACTTGTGTAGATTATTAGATTTCTCTTTTCTTAAAGAAATCCCCTTCAGCTGTTTACAGCTATCTCAAATTTGTTGAAAAACTTTCTGATCTCTAGGTTCTTTCAACTATTGAATTATGTATTTAGTTAAAATTCTTAGTCTGATTGGTTCTGTCATCATTTCACATATTGGCATATTCACGATAACTGAATGCAAATGGAAACATGAAGACACCCGAACAAATTTAAATTTTTATTTGAGTGAATACTGTTTGAAGGTTTGGCCTGGTATTGTTCAAAATGCAGTGCTTCTGAATCAGAAATTATAAACTCACAAGAGAGAGTGTTAGAAATAATCCCTGGATGTCTTGTTCGTATTAGATATAGGCTAAATCATTCTGACAGATTCCAAACCTACTGAAATATTATTTCTTAAAATGTTGATGTTGATTTCAGTGTTACTGGGAGCACATCTTACTTATACCTTTAAAGGTGACTATGAAAGAGGGGGAAGACAAGTATATATGGTGAAAAACAGGGTGAGAAAAGAAACAGAGAGCTGATTGTGTGAAAAAGAAAGAGACACCCTGGGAAAGTAGCAGAGAAAAGGGAAAGAAAAAGATCCCAGTTTTTGTAAGTATGTCTCTCTAGGACGGAGACGGTGCCAAACCTTGGACTTGGAGGCTGTTCTGTCCTTAATACATTGCACATGATTGTCTGAGCTAGAAAAACATTTTTTGTGGTTTTTAAAAAATTGAATTATACTTATATGAAATAAAACAAACTATGAGTTTAAATGATAGAGTAGAAAGAGACAAAATTCATTTTGCAAGCCCTCAGAGAATTTAAAAATCCCTTATGTTCACAAAACCTCAAAATTCATAAGGTTCCTGTATTCCCAGAGTAGGATGCACAAAGGAGTTACTTCCATCTACTTTAGTTTTCATCAGACTCTTTCTGTTCAGCTAACTGGTTCTCCTCTCGAGACATCTTTGTATTAAGGGCGAGATCCAAAATATCCCACTGACACTTCCTGTGCAATCTAAATAGAAGTTTGCTGAGGAGAGAGATTATAAAACCTGGGTAAATTTCAAAGCTACAAGACCATAGGCAATTGAGTATGATTATGAATGTTTGTTTCAGCACCTATGCCTTGCCCCAGGTAGGCTTATTTGCCTTTTAGGATCTGCATCTTCATTCATTGGAAGTATTCAATGTGTCTAAACCACAGAGATGGTCCTTAATGTATTCCTTAAAAAAATTATCTCCTGTTGGCTGCCTGTAGGTAATTTCCCACTTAACAGGGGGTTTTAGCTTGTTCCTCAGGAATGCCATTCCCCACCCAATATGATGTCTAGGCTCTCATCTTAGTGTTTTTAAGAGACTAACGGGGTCCATTTTTCAGACATTGGACTGCCTACTGAGCAATGTGGAGCTGGCTCTCTCTGTTAGCTCCAGATGGAAGCAAACGCTTGTGGCATTCAAACCTGCAAAGCCCATGTATCTTCTAGGTAAGTTATGCCTACCAAGTGGGTGCCAGAGCAGGGGTGTGTGTGTGTGGAGTTAGTGAAACAAGTTGATATGAATAGTTGGTATCAGTAGACTCTGATAATCAGCAGAGATAGCAGGGGGCTGGGTAAATATAAGAAAGGCTGTGCTAGGTCAAAACAAGGATTCACCCAGCCCAATAGGGATGTCTGTGATACCTATCTGACAGGGAGGCATTCTGATCATGAAGGTGTTTTTTGAGAGTGAGCCTCATCACTAGCACTTCAGGTAGACTGATTTCTGCAACTTCCCCAGATCCAGGGAACTTGACAGTAAAATTTGTGATATGGGAAACTGTTTTTGTTCTTTTTCCTGTATTAAAACATATTCCTACCTCCAAACTACCAGTAAATCTTAAGTGGATGCCCAGGGAAAAAAAATAGGAAAAGGTGATCTGGTTGCTGCTTAGGCCCATATCAACTTCTGTCATCTTTGATGTTGCTGCAAGGATTTCCACCCACTTAATGAGAACTACACCTTTTAGTTCAGTTTGAATTTTTACTTGGAGCTTCATTTGATAGTGCTCACTTTTGAATTGGTAGATGCAGTACAAAATTGGTGCCAGACTACCCTCTCCATGACACTTTTAATTTTACACACCTCTGCCACATCCCTCACTCATCTCTTTCCTTGACTGTACAGTCCTGAGTAATTTGATCATTTTCTTACATTGTTGCAGACTTCTAGTAATCTATCCTTGCTCTTTCACAATTTTTCTTTATTGTGAAGCGTGTTCTGAGCCACATTTCTTTATTCAGCTTTGGAGCTAACTCTAGATTTTAGGTTGAACCTTCCTCTAGTCAGGAGTCTTCCTCCTTCACTATTAGTCTAAAAAATGTTGTGTAGTGACTCATTTTTCTAAGGACATATTTATATACAAGCGTGTGTGTGAGAATATGTGAATACTTGAGATCTGCTTCACCTGCTCTTCTACCATGGATGACACAAAGCTGTTGACACATTATTCTATCTGCAGCAGGTTTGGGAACTCAGATGTCCTGGCCAGTATAAGACCCTGTGACTGGAGAGTCACACAGGCTCTTTCTCACACTCAAATTACAGGATCATCACTTATGCCATATGCAGTACAACTGCTTCAGGGACACCCTTCCTGCAGGGACACCATCCTGCAGCATGGTCTTGCCTGCTACTTCAGGTCATCTCTGAGAGATGGCAGAGGTGAATTTGCACTTGCTTGGGATCTGGGAGCAGGTTTATCTTATCTTCTGTGTTTGCTAAGCTGTTGTGTAACTGGACTCCTCCTCCTCCAAGTGAAACAGCAGCTGACACTTTCTCCAGGACTTGCTCCTATAGGTGTAGGGAGTGTGTTCATGTGCCACACAGCACTAGGAAATATGCACAGTGGCACTGAGATATCAGAGGTCATGGATCACAGAGCAGTTGCTGGTGACTTTCGATCACGTGCAGGGGATAGTGTACTGAAGAACTCCGCTGACAAAGACATAGGTGCATGCAGGATTAGGCAACAAGAAAGACAGAATCATAGGATTTTATTTGGGACTGAATAAGTACAAAAGGTTAACTGGATCTACATCAGGTGTTCTGTATTGCACAGAAAGCTGTTGAACAGCTATTGCATTGTCATTGTTGTTGATGTCATACAGCACTGTCAACCTGTATAAGAGGTCAATAATATCCTAGGTGCCTGATGTGGACCTACTAGGAGACAGCTATTGCACTAAGGAAATATCTCTATGGGTTCATAAAGTTGATATTACTGTTATCCCTGCATAACACATGGACTTGGGGCCCAGAAGTGACAACTGTTATCTGGAGTCCCAGTATCATAACTGGCCACCAAAGCCAGTTTTTGAAAAACTCTTCCTTCCTTCCTTCCTTCCTTCCTTCCTTCCTTCCTTCCTTCCTTCCTTCCTTCCTTCCTTCCTTCCGTCCTTCCTTCCTTCCTTCCTTCCTTCCTTCTTTCTTTCTTTCTTTCTTTCTTTTTCTTTTTTCTTTCTTTCTTTCTTTTTCTTTCTTTCTTTCTTTCTTTCTTTCTTTCTTTCTTTCTTTCTTTCTTTCTTTCTTTCTTTCTTTCTTTCTTTCTTTCTTTTCACCTTTCCTCCTTTCTTCCTTTCTCTTCCTTCCTTTTTTCTTTCCCTTCTTTTCTTTCTTTCCTTTCCTTTCTTCCTTTCTTTCCTTTCTTTCATTTCTTTTTCTTTCTTTCTTTCATTTCTTTCTCCCTTCTGCTCTTTTTCCCTTCCTTCCCTCTTTCTCATTCATTCTTATTCAAATATTTGAAAGAGTTGTCATCCTTGTTCTTGTGCTTTCTACTATCCTCCTGAGAAAAAAACAAATACCTTGTAGGGAATAGAGAGGAACATGTTGATGGTTCATGAAGCTGGTGAGAATAATCTCTCTTTTGGTGACTTTTCTTTCCTTCTAAGCATCTCCAAATCTTATTGCTTTCCACAGAGTAGTTTTACAAAATAATGGGTTAGTCATATTATTTGTCTGTGAACACGGCTGTCCGGTTTTCATTTGAAGAGGAAGTAAGTGAGCTTTCACAACCTTTGGCAACAGATAGTTTAAAATCTAGATGACTAAAATTGGAAAGTAATTGGAATAGAGATAATCAGTTTAGAAATGTATTAATAGAACACTAAACTTGGAATTTATACTCATAGCTAAAGAAGATTCATCTGTGTGTTTGTTGTGACATTTCTTCTCAACTTTCTGGATAAGTATCTGTAATGTAACTGTGAACTAATCAGGGTAAAATACTGTACTGAAGTGATATTAGTGAAAGAATGTGTCAGGTGTTCTTGGCTTGGGGCTTTTCTCACCGGTTGTTCCGGGTAAAAGCAAGGAAAGGATAGAGGGAGGGAAATTCATCTTCGTCTTTTCCAGAAGATAAGAGATGTAATGGTTTAATGTGATTAATGGTTTAATGGCCTCATGATCCACAGCTGTCCCAGACAGAGAAAGTTCCCTTTTGACTTCTGGCCAGGAAGGTCCTCAAGGGTGTCAAGAAGGAAGCTGGAGCTGAATGGGTGCTGGTCCCTTTGCCCATGGAGGTCCTACGTGGTGGTTGTCAAAGGAAACTTTTGAGATGGGATTAACCTCTAGATCTGTGTAATCAAGGTTATTACATTAATGTAACATTGCTAATTTCCCTGAGAAGGCTCCAGTACATGTGGAAGGATACTATGCTCCTTCACTGGTATGTTGCTTCTCTGCCCACCTGGGATCAGAGTGGCAACGGTGAGGGCAGGGAGACAGGCTCCCCACATGGGAGCTCCCTCTTCTGTGTATGCAAAGGAATAGGGGCTAAAATTCATGTCAAGGTAGAAAATAAGGGACTCATTTCTCACTGGAGTAAACTAAGAAGGGAGAAATGTTAGAATTTGTATCTGAATTTGCCTATTTCAGTTTGCGAGCATAATGTAAATAAGAGTGTTAGGATGAGGTTTTCTTTACAAATGCGCTCTTACCTGTACAGTAACAACACCCTGTTTTGTACAGCTGTTTGGAATTAGTAGAACTACTGTTGAGTGATGAAATAAATACATCACTTAATTAGCTGTGTACCATTCAGATCAATATGCCTTTCTATGAGCAGAATAACAGGTGCTACTCTGATTCATGGTAATCATTGGTTACTGATATGTTATAGCACCAGACAGACTTGTGAAAATTTGAAGGAAAGATTGTTTTTTTTAATCTCATAATGAAATTCCATATAGAATGGATTCCCAATAGAATATCTTAAACTAGAAATCTGGATATACCTAGAAGTAGCTTTAAACAATGAGCAAAAAATGATAATAATAAACAGCTCTTTGTTTTTCATGTAGAGGAAAATAAGTTTGGGGTTTTTTTTTCCTAATACACATAATTTCCACTAATGTCCATCTCAGGAAAGTGTATACTGTAACCCCTTCATTGTGTGAAAGTACTTGTTTATTATGGTCTGTGAGCCTTTTTTGACCAAGCATACAGAATAAGGAATTCGGCTCTCAAAGCCTTGCAAGGTCTGGTGCTAGTGAATACATCAGTATAATGGTGCTAACTAAAATCGCTTCTTTTTTTTGACCCATTGCCTCTTTATCCCCTTTTGAGTGACTAGTGTTAACATCATTGTCTACATATATTCATGCATGAGAGCTTTTAATCACAGCTTTCCTGCACTGAGTGGCTGTGCATATGTGGATACACATGTGCTGTCATGTTAAAAGATGATGAAATGATTTTTGATCCAAGTATTCTCCTGTCGTTTACTCTTTTTTGCAGCGTGTTCACATAAATGTTCTGTCCAAATTCCTGTATTGAATAATGTATAAACAGTTAAATCCTGCTATGGAAATTATTTTTTGCTTAATATTGAATGAATATGCAGTATACACATGAATATAATATGCATTATACATAGGTACTAGTGGTTGTTAGTTACTGTTTTTCAAACAAGTTATATGTATACACACACATGCATATACACACATATATATATATCTATATCAAGTTATATAATTGTTGATGTCTGCCTTGAGCATTGTAACCTGCTGATGTCAAAAGAGAAACCTGCATGGTTATTTTTGCCGAATAGTGATAAAGAGTAGGGCTACCAAAAGTGCACTGGAACACAGGGAAAGATATAGAATCAAAACATATTCTCAGCTATACTGAGAACAGAACTGGATTGAACTTATGGGTCTCTTCATATATGAAGTGAGAAATATATTAGTTCTGAAGAAATCTAGCAATTTCTGTTTTATGGAACAGATAGTTTTCAGAATATAAATTGTACAGTTCATTGGTCAGATTGATTTCCTTGCATTATGGTCAAAACTATCTTTTGGATGGTTTGTGAGTAACATCCTGCCAAAAATATTTTACATTCTTGTGTCTACAAAATGAGAACTGTTTTTAATTTACGCAAGAAGCCTAATCAAAATAGCATATAATGTAGCTCTGAACCAGATAAGGATGCAATATTTTTGGAAGCAATTGTATATTTATTAAACAACGATTTGCCTTTACTTTTGTGTCTAAGCATTTATTATTTTTGACTTGTTTTCCAGAGACACTTCCAGAGACACTTCATTACATTACTGTTTGTTTTATTGCTACTGCAGTATTAAAAATATTCCCTGTTACTTATAAATAGAAACTTCATATGAGTTCTGGCAATTTTGGTTCTGACCAAAAGTGAAAATAAACTCTTATTAGATTATGGCACCTCATATAAGAAATTATTATGGTCACTTATGAATGAACGACCTTTGCATCCAAGAGAACTGGGAAAGGGCAAAGGCAATACAGCTTGTGTTTCTACTGCACCCCATTTGTAGGCAACA